ATTTTTCCAAACTAACATATGAATGTTTTTTTTTTTATAATATTAGGTGAATAAGTTGAAATCAGAGAATTCCCCCACTTACAGTGAAGAGTTATATAACTTGGCATTCGGCCCACTTCGGGCTGAATTGTTCTCGGGTTGCCATGTTAACGGCGTCAAGTTTTTGGGGAGTGCACGAGATGACAAGTTGTGTAAGCAAAACAGCGGTGTCCATGTTCCAGGTGGAGGCGAAAGTACAGACATTGATTTCTATGGCAAACTCACCACTGTCGTGCAATTGCTTTACAAAGACCGATACCAAGTGATCATGTTTAAGTGTCGATGGTTTGATACGAACCAAAATAGGCAGGGAAGTATTAAAATCGATCATGGGTTACTATCTGTGAACATGAGCAGAACTTGGTATGATGACAACCCTTACATTTTGGCAACCATGGCAAAACAGATTGTCTATCTAAATGACCCTAAAGCAGGGAGCGGGTGGAAAGTTGTTCAGCAGATGGATCAGAGGAATGAGTATGCTATACCAGAACTAGACCCATCTGACAATGACGTCGACGTTGCTGACCAACGTTTCGAATATTCCATGGAACATGATGCACAAACACTTCAAGATACAATTGTCGTACAGGAACCTTTTCAGCTTGAAGGAGTGTCTCCAAGAGAAATACCGATTCAGTCAATTACAATTGACCTCAGTGATCTTCCGCGATACGATCCAACCATGGGGGACGACAACGACGATGATGTACTTATGGAGGAGGCGGAGGAAGAGGAGGAGGAAGAGGATTGGGAGACGGATAGTCATGATAGTGATGATAACGAAGGTTATTATAGTTCATCTGATGAATAATGTAATTTATTTGTAATTTAACGAAATGTACATGTTCATCTGATGAATAATGTAATTTATTTGTAATTTAATGAAATGTACATGTTTTCTATAAATATATGTGGGGAACTTTGTAACGTGTTTTTCAACGTTCTTCGTTTCTTTTATTGAATTCTGTTCATTTTCGTAACTGTTTTTGACTTTTGGTCCGCCCTGCGTTCTTTGTTTTTTTGTGCTGAATCCAACCGTATAAATAACATGAAATTTGGACATACGGTTGGGAAGTTATGGATTCAAAACTGAACAGATGTTGGAAGTGGAAATCAGTCAATTACAATCTGTAAAAAAACGACCGGTCGTCTACACTAAACGACCGGTCTTTACCTTTGCGCGACGAAAGAAAAGTGTTGGCGTCGCACATTCACACTTTGCGGGACGGATATATTCGTCGCGCAAAATAGGTTGGAAGTGAAAAAAATCAATTACAATATGTGAAAAAACGACCGGTCGTCTACGCTAGACGACTGGTCTTTATCTTTGCGCGACGAAAGAAAAGTGTTGGCGTCGCACAATCATACTTTGAGGGACGGACGTATTCGTCGCGCAAAATAGGTTGGAAGTGAAAAAAATCAATTACAATATGTGAAAAAACGACCGGTCGTCTACGCTAGACGACTGGTCTTTATCTTTGCGCGACGAAAGAAAAGTGTTGGCGTCGCACAATCATACTTTGAGGGACGGACGTATTCGTCGCGCAAAATAGGTTGGAAGTGAAAAAAATCAATTACAATATGTGAAAAAACGACCGGTCGTCTACGCTAGACGACTGGTCTTTATCTTTGCGCGACGAAAGAAAAGTGTTGGCGTCGCACAATCATACTTTGAGGGACGGACGTATTCGTCGCGCAAAATAGGTTGGAAGTGAAAAAAATCAATTACAATATGTGAAAAAACGACCGGTCGTCTACGCTAGACGACTGGTCTTTATCTTTGCGCGACGAAAGAAAAGTGTTGGCGTCGCACAATCATACTTTGAGGGACGGACGTATTCGTCGCGCAAAATAGGTTGGAAGTGAAAAAAATCAATTACAATATGTGAAAAAACGACCGGTCGTCTACGCTAGACGACTGGTCTTTATCTTTGCGCGACGAAAGAAAAGTGTTGGCGTCGCACAATCATACTTTGAGGGACGGATATATTCGCCGCGCAAAATAGGTTGGAAGTGAAAAAAATCAATTACAATCTGTGAAAAAAATGACCGGTCGGCCGGTCTTTATCTTTGGGCGACGAAAAGAAGTGTTGGCGTCGCACAATCATACTTTGTGGGACGGATATATTCGTCGCGCAACAAACCAATATGCAAAAAAATTTACGAAATAGATAAATCACCTTTGCTCGACGAACACGAATTTTGTACGTCGTGCAAACCTTCTAGAGACCCATAAAAGCCTTATTCGTCGCCCAAACCAAGTTTTTTAATTTTATTTCTTTTGTATGGCATGATAGTTAAGAAATTAAACGAACTTTCCATTAGTGTAAATAATTTTAAATGAAGATCAAATTCAGTAATTGTATTCATATACAGTAAAGGGGTGCACCCCTAGAAAATCTTGAACATCGGAGTTAAAATACCCGTTAAATCGTGATTTTTCATTTATATCCGTCGAAAATTGTGGTCCCGTTACGTCACCTAGGACTGTATATTTTTTTCAATTTTTTTTAAGTACGATCTCTACGTTTAAAGAAACAAGTTTGACGGTTGGATCGTTGAAAATAGTTTTGTAGAATGCGTATGTCGTCAAAACTATATATTCACAAACATTAAGAGTTGTTGATGTACTTTTGTTAAATATAACATAAGATGTTGTGGTATCCACTAATGTAAATATTTTTAAATGAAGATCAAATTTAGTAATTGTATTCATATACAGTAAAGGAGTGCATCCGTAAAATATCATCAAAATCGGAGTTAAAATAACCGTTAAATCGTGATTTTTTGTTTATAACCGTTGAAAATTTTGGTCCGGCAACATCATTTATGAATGTGTATTTTTTTCAATTTTTGGCGTGTACGATCTCTAAGTATAAACAAACAAGTTTGACGGTTGGATCGGTGAAACTAGTATTGTAGAATGCGTAGCCCCATTAAAACAATATAGTCACTAACATTTCCATGCTTTTCTGTTGTTAAGTTTTTATTAAATTAAACTGGACTTGCGCGACAACTAAGATCTTTGTCGTCGCGCAATCGTTCTACGTGCGACGTAATAAATTATTTCCGTCGCGCAATGTAATTAAGGGTTTCTAGCCCAGGTTTCAAGGTTTAGGGTTTACCTTTGCGCGACGTATTTCCAAACATTTGTCGTCGCGCAAGTCGCCCAAATTTTTGGCGGTGTTAATCCCGCGTATTAAAAATTCTTTGCGCGACAGATTATATTATCCGTCGTGTAAAGTGCGATATTTTACCTTTGCGCGACATTTTATATGTTTCGTCGCGCAAGTCGGCGAACCTTTTATGAAAAAAACGCGCAGTTCTGTTCGCCTTCAACCTCTCTCAGCCCCTCTGTCTCTCTCCCCTTCGAACCCTAAAAATATGTCAGCCAGTCTATAAATCCTTCGAACCCTCAAATCTCTCAGCCACTCTCTCTCGCGTTCAACCTCTCAGCCCCTCTATCTCTCTCTCTCCTTCGCACCCCCAAATCTCTCACCCAGTCTCTATCGCAACCTCTCAGCCCCTCATCCTTCTCAGCCGCTCTCTCCTCCGTCCCCACTCATCCCTCTCTCCTCCGTCTCCACTCATCCCTCTCAGTCCCTCTATCCTCCATCCCCACTCATTCCTCTCTGTCCCTGTCTCCTCCGTCCGCTCTCAGTCACTCGCTCCTCCATCAGACGACGGCCCTTCGATTTCTCTCTCGCTCTCCACCGTCGAAACCCATACGGTAAAAGTCCCGACTCTAGCCCCGATTTATAATTACAAGTTTTTGG